GAGGACTTTAACCCGAATATATTCTTTAATTAAATCAATTCGACAATTGTAACCAACTATTCGAATTGTAACATAAGCAATTAACCACCAAAGTGTAATCATTCAATCGGGTAATTATAATAATTAAATAAAGGGTTACGATTACTTAAATAAATGTAATCAGTGGTAATAACCACTCGAAATTGTAAGTGTTATAATAAATAAAAGGGGTTATTTTAATAAAAGTGTGGTGCAGTGTGTGTTTGTTCTACGACCTTGATCACTTTCCTCGTTTTCCTCATGGGTTCCAACCCTTTGAGCGGATCGAATCCCAAATTAATATCTGGTTGCACCGAGAGGTACAACACGAGTCTCTCTCTCTCTCACGTCGCGTGTCAATGCCGTATCCATAAAGATCTCCGCTCTCGTGTTTCCGCGTATCACAGATTACGGTGGTGTTGCTGATCGGCGCAGCTGTGCACGGACACACCTACAAGGCCTTGAACTGGCAGATCCTGAGTTCTACAATTAGGATCCTGTGGAACTCTTACTAGGCGCAGACGTGTACGCCCATATCGCACTGTCCGGCATACGGAAGGGCGGTTCATTTGAGCCCGTGGCTCAACACACTCAGCTCGGCTGGGTTTTACTGGGCGCCGCAGGCGTTAGCAATACCTGCTCAATTGTCGCGTTCACCTCGTTGTGTTGCTCGCCAACAGACGAATTAACCTCCCTGGTGCGTCGGTTTTGGGAGCAATAAGAACTGCCGCAATCTCCGGAGCCGTGGTCTCCTGAGGACCGCGAGTGTGAAGAACACTTTAAGCAAACGCACATTCGAGACTCCGGTGGTCGCTATCAGGTGCGCCTTCCAGTGCGACCAAGCATTACTGATCTTGCGGACACTCGTCGCTTGGCTGTAAGGATGCTCGCCGTGATGGAGCGTCGCTTTGTTCGCTAGCCGACATTCCACGACCGCTACCGCGACTTCATGCGCGAGTATCTCTCGCTGGGGCACATGTCCTACGCCGTGCCATTGCCGTCGGACGCCGCGCGAGTGTGTTCCTGCCACATCATGGGGTATACAAGGGAACGGGCGCCGAGAAGAAGATCCGAGTTGTCTTCAACGGATCGGCGAAAAGTGGTCAAGGATCCTCCTTGAATGATTGCCTGATGCCCGGCCCGAATCTGCTACCTACCTTGTCAGACGTGGTTTCTCGCTGGCGGTGTCATCGTTTCGTGGTCTCCACTGACATTGAAAAGATGTACCGACAAATCCGGGTGCATCCAGAGGACCGAAACTTACAGCGAATTCTGTGGACAGAAAACGGACAGCCATTAGAGTTCCGTTTGAACACTGTCACGTACGGACTTGCCTGCGCGCCATACCTGGCGATTCGCGTGCTGCGACAACTCGCTGACGACGACGGAAAGGAGCTCCCCTTGGCTGCGGAGGCACTGAGGCGAGACACCTACGTGGACGACATCCTTTCTGGAGCCGCGACCTTGACGGAGGCAGGAATGCTGACGGACCAGCTAGTGAGACTCTGCATGGCGGGCGGATTCCCGCTGAGAAAGTGGTCCGCCAACCACCCTGCCTTGCTTAAGGATATTCCGGCAGAACATCAGAGCAGGAAGTCGTCAAACACTTTGCTGCCCCCTGAGGGTCAGATGGTCTTGGGTCTACGTTGGGAAACAGAAAGCGATTGCTTCGCATTCACCGTGCACAAGTCGATCGGAGAATCACTCACTAAACGATCACTACTTTCGAACGCGTCTCGCCTGTTCGACCCACTGGGCTGGTTGGCACCGGTTACGGTACTCGCAAAGCTGATCATCCAGTCAACATGGATGCAGCAACTCGGGTGGGATGATCCATTGCGTGACGAGGAGGCTGCAGCGTGGACCTCGTTGAGGGATCAGCTTCCCCTCATAGAGGACGTTCGAGTTCCTCGATGGATGCACATCGACTCGCCAGGAGTCAAAGTTGAGGTCCATGGCTTCTCGGATGCTTCGGAGCGAGCATATGGTGCAGCCGTGTATCTTCGCGCACTCAGCGATGAAGGCATCACCATCTCCTTGGTGATGGCAAGGACCAAGGTCGCGCCGTTGAAGCGAGTGTCATTGCCGCGGCTAGAGCTGTGCGCAGCCTCCCTTCTCTCCAAGCTTGCTACGCACGTAGCTTCCACGCTCGGCTTATCAGGTATCGAGACGCATCTGTGGACGGACTCCACCGTGGTCTTGGCCTGGATCCGTGGACATCCTGCGAAATGGACAACCTATGTGGCCAACCAAGTAGCGGAAATTCAGAGAACAATGTCAAATGTCACTTGGCATCACGTACCTGGACGAGAAAATCCTGCTGACTGTGCTTCCAGGGGGCTGTCACCACGTGAGCTGCTCTCTCACTCATTGTGGTGGCGCGGTCCAGACTTCCTACGCAGAGAACCATCTGGATGGCCAATGGACGCTGGCTCTTCATCATTGCAGAGCTTGCCAGAGCAACGGACCAAACCTTGTCTCGTCGTGACAAAGTTGCAAGAACCGGAGGAGCTAACCCGGTTCTCTTCATGGCAGCGATTGATCCACGTCACCGCCTGGATTCTCCGCTGGCGACGGCAAGTTTCGTGCACCTCAGGACCACCAAAACAGGCTCCCATCCTCGTCTTGACTCCGGCCGAGCTGGAACGGTCGACGCAGCTGTGGATTCGGGTGGTGCAGTCAATTGCATGGCGTTCTGAGCTGGATTCCATCGTCGCAGAGAGGGAATTACCCCCTCGCAGCTCACTTCACAAACTCTCGCCAAGGATCGATGACCATGGGGTACTGCGTGTAGGCGGCCGTCTAAAACATGCAGTGCTGAGTGAGGATCAACGTCATCCGGTGATCCTGCCTCCAGGATCTCACTTCACTTACCTGGTCGTTGATGCCTTCCATCGACGCATTCTCCATGGGGGCACTCAGGCTACCTTGACGGCCATCAGAAGACGCTTCTGGATTCCTCGCGGGCGACAGCTGGTGAAGCGTCACATCCATCGATGTGTGCAATGCATAAGATGGCGGGCGGCTTCTCCGCAGCCGATGATGGGCAATCTTCCGAGATCAAGAGTGACGCCCAGTCGGCCATTCTCACACACCGGCGTGGATTTCGCAGGACCAATCCTTCTGAGGACATCTAAAGGCCGAGGTCACAAGGCCTACAAAGGATTCTTGGCCGTTTTCGTTTGTTTTAGCTCCAGGGCCGTACATTTGGAAGTGGTGAGTGACTACACCACTGAAGCTTTTCTTGCAGCCTTCCGACGCTTCACTGCTCGACGCGGCCTATGCCAGGTGGTCTATAGCGACTGTGGAACCAACTTCGTAGGAGCAGACGCTCAGCTGCGCGCCTTGTTCGACGCGTCCAGTCAAACTGCTCACCAGATCATCGGAAAGTTGTCCACGGAGGGGATCCGGTGGCACTTTAACCCGCCAGCCGCTCCGCATTTCGGTGGTCTGTGGGAAGCAGCGGTAAAGTCAGTAAAGCATCACCTCAGACGAGTCATCGGCGAGATCACACTCACCTACGAGGAGATGGCCACATTCTTGGCGGAGGTGGAAGCCTGCTTGAACTCGCGTCCACTTCAAGCTTTGACAGATGATCCGGACGACCTTGACGCGTTAACTCCTGGGCACTTCCTGATTGGAGCTCCTCTCATTGCCATCCCGGAACCATCGTTACTGGACACATCGTCCAATGCGCTGAGTCGCTGGCGCCTCCTGCAAAGTATGCGAGATCATTTTTGGCATCGATGGTCTCAGGAGTACTTGCAGGGACTGACCCCACGACCTAAATGGTGGAGGGTCGCAGGAAACTTACAAGAGGGTCAACTGTGCCTTCTGAAGAACGAAAATACGCCTCCATCTCGATGGCCGCTGGCCCGGATTACACGCCTGCATCCAGGAGACGACGGCCAGGTACGCGAGGTGGACGTGCGGACTCCAACCAGTAGGCTGACACGACCTGTCGTGAAGATCGTCCCCTTGCCACTGGCTAGGGAGGACCAGGCCACTTCACAAGGTTAAAACATCCCTGCAGTTCTCGCAGTATTGTGACACCAGTGTCATTATCATTGTAAAAATTGTAAATAGTATATACGTAACCATTTACTTACCTTGTAAAATTTTTCGCGCCCACTTAGCGGTTTGCTTTATTTTTTCTCTTTTTTTGTTTTGTTTCATTTTTCTTTATTATCACGAACTATTATTGCGTAATCAGTTTGCGACATTTTTTTTTGCTATATTAATGCAGAGAAAATAAAAGGGACTCATTTTTTTGTATACCTGTCAAAGGTTATGAAATCAACATTATTCGCTGTTACTTTACTACTTAAAAGGCGCCTGTTATTCTCATCCAAGAGCGCTAGACAGTAATTCACGTGCGTCTTTCTCTTTATTTTTTCCGTGTGCTTAGTACTCACATTACCACGCGACTTTCTTGCCATGCAGCTTCGGATGCTGTGATCAATATCTCGCTGGCCTCGACCTTCTGTCATCACTGCAGGTAGAATTAAGCTGGAACCACTTACGGTTATCACTTACAATAACGTCGCACGAAAGCACTTTTACTTAATATCAATCAGTTGTTCGGTTCGTTACGCGGTCACTACGTACAAGCGCCGCGTGCCATGCGAATCGAACAGATGAGTTGCCAACGCGCGAGACTTATTGACACATGCGATCATTACGCCATCGCCAAACATTGGGAAAACAATTTCGTCGGTACTTAGCGATACCCGACGAAGCGGGCGGAATGTTTGGAAATTCGGCGCGCTTTCCGTGAGAGCGCCCCGCCAATCGCGAGTCCGCGTGGTTGCGCTAACAGCGCATCCAATGTAAAAGCGATCGGCCAATTATAGACTGCCAACGTATACCGCTGCAGCCTATAATTTTAAAGTATGAACATTGTTTAGTATACATTTAAATTCAACCTGTTGAATTCTAGAAGCTTCATTATTATTATTGTTCGTCCTTTTCGACAAAGGAAATTCTTTTAACCGAAAAGAAGTTTCTAGAATTCAAGAGTGAATAATACCGAGCGCGCAGAAACGCGGAGAGGCAGTCGTCTCTTAGACTCTTCTGTTAAAAATTCACTGTTGCATTCGATTGTGATTTTGGCCTGACGCTGGCCTACGTATCGTCATACGGAACTTTCACTGTCGATTATCAATAAACGCAGTTTAATCAATTTATTCCTTTTCTTTATTTTGCTCTCCTTACTCCATCTCAGTGATTTTCGCACACTCAGCAAAGATAAGCTGCGGGTACTGAGACGCGAATTTTCCCATTTATTGGGAGAAAATTTTAATCTTTTAACTCGAAAAGGTATCTTTCCGTACGAGTACATTGATTGCAGTGA